GAGTCTTGTAGTACTGCAGCTTTCAAACATGGTCGTACAGAAACTATACGTCCTGCCTCTATCCATACAAAGAAATGTTCGGAAGCTTTTGTCAGGGAACTGTCCAAACATAGCACAGAAGAGCTTCAGAAGTTGATAGTGGAGTGCTCAAAATACCATGGCCATTTGACAAAAGAAGCTGCTATGGGTAAGTAGGAATATATCAAACACTCTTGCTTTTGCACTAAAATGTCTATTAAAGTTGCTGTAAATGTTTACTTCACAACTAAATAATTTAATTTTGATGGAGGTCTAATGTTAATGTAAACTTGACAAAAACAGTAGCAGAAGGCTGCAGTTTAAAATGCATTCTCTAAGACTTGTTTCTTGATGGAGGAGAATGCCTCTGTGCTTCCCACTTCACTGTTAATGTGTGGAGAATTTTTTATACTTTAGTTTTTGTCTTTATAGCAGCTGGGCTATTAGAAAATTTGATAAATACCTAGTGCATGTTGTACTCCCCAAGGCAGCCAAGAACTTTGGCTTTATGTCCGAGGAGTTCCTACCTTATCCCTGCAGGGGATAAAAGCTTTAACAACTTCCAAATCAAACTGATTCTTTGGCTGTGCTACTCCTGGTATTTTTCTAAATGCTTTCTTTTGAATTGTCCTTCCCAGAAGCATAACTTGTTTTATTGCTTCAGTAAAATTGACTGTTGAACATTACCCCATAGAGTCTAAGATTTGCCTCCTTTTGTTGATGCAAGATCCTCTTCCTCTTTAGATTCATGAATTTTAAGAAAGCTTTTCTGTTTTAAACAACCTGGATATGTTCAGGTAAATAGTTAATCAAAGAATGCGATGTATTATTAAAATTGTCTTGTTGTTAACAAGATGTTAACAACAAGATGTTGCTAACAATGTTAACATTGCACTTTTGTTTACTATCATGATTCCTGGTTGAGGCTAGCAGTACAGCAAGCCCTCATTCCCTAGGATACATGCATTAGAAGTGCAGAATGTCTGGGTTCTGAAAAATTATTCCTGCTAATATGAAAGTAAAACCCAGTTCTATAGACCTCCTCTTTTATGGCTGAAAAACAATGTGATGTCAAAATAAGTGAGTTTACTTCCCACAAAAATTAGTCATCTCTCTAATACTTGTTATTTTATTTTAACAGGTCAGGGATTTGACCGACATCTCTTTGGCTTGCGCTATTTAGCCTTATCCAAAGATATTGCACTGCCTGATTTCTATCAAGACCAAGCCTATGCTCGGCTTAATCACAACATCATTTCTACAAGCACATTGTTAAGCCCAGCTGTGCAATTAGGAGGGTTTGGCCCAGTGGTGTCTGATGGTTTTGGAGTAGGATATCAGGTACATAACGATTGGATAGGTTGCAATGTTTCTTCTTACCCAACTAGGAATGGTAAAGAATTCCTTCAGTGTATATACAAGTCACTAGAAGATATCTTTAATGTTTTAAAGGGCAAGAAAATGAGTAGTTAGACATAAAAATGTTGGAACACTTTACAGTTGCAGTACAAAATGCAGACTATGTCTAATTGGCATACTAATCAGTGTTCAAGGTGGCTGAGACTGCCCAGCTTAATTGGCTTCATTTATCTTCATTGAACTTGAATACTGTTAGATTCACTATGAAATTTGTATCTATTTTAAAGAAATTAAGTACAGACATTGAATGCATGTTTCAGGAAATACAAACATTCACAATGTCAAAATTAAGTAACAGACCCATCTGTTCCAACAGATCCATGTGTTCTTAAAACACATTATTTAAAATAAAAAGCATTGTTACCGAGTTTGTGAACTTGGAACATCTGTGTTCCATGAGTGTTCAGACAGACAACAGCACTGTGATACCACTCTTAAACTGTTTGATTTTAAAAAGTATGCACAATAATTTTAAATATGAAAGAGTGGTTACATTTGCACTCTTGCAGTAAGCTTCCTTACTAACTTGTCACACTTACTTTTCTCTAATTTAAACTTGAATTGATACCAGAACTGATTGTGCCTCAACTGCTTGAAGCCTTTCCACTGTAACAGCTTTTTGAGAAACAAAAAATGAAGTGGGAGGCTTTAAGTAACCTGCAATCACCAACTGTGTTGTTAAATTGACTGGAAGAGACTGTATTGTAATAAAGCTATCTATTAATAACCACAAAGTTATTTTATTGTCATATCGAAATAATACAGCATGGGTAGTCCCTTTATCAATAGCTCGTGTTTCTTATAAAGGTTGAAAAGAATACTACTGAAAGCATGCTGCAGTGTTGGCTCTCCCCTTCCATACATGAAGTCTGTCCAGTAATCTGCTTTTGTTTTGCTACGTAAACCTGTGCTCTTGTGTCTTAAAAAAGAAAAATCACTGAACTTTATCTCTTGGGGTTCTCTTTTTCCAAACATCCTCTTACTGTGGAAAAGTAACCTCAACAGAACATTTTCCTGTTTCCTCCTTGTTCTATCAGCTAGAACTTTTGATGTCACTTATTGTAGTAAATTTCATAGAATCATACAATCATTAAGGTTGGAAAGGACCTCTAAGATCATCGAGTCCAACCATCAACCCAACACCACCATGCTCCCTAAACCATGTCCCTAAGCGCCTCATCTACATGTCTTTTAAATACTTCCAGGGATGGTGACTCAACCACTTCCCTGGGCAGCCTGTTCCAATGCTTGACAGCCCTTTCGGTGAAGAAATTTTTCCTCGTGTCCAATCTAAACCTCCCCTGGAGCAACTTGAGGCCATTTCCTCTTGTCCTATCGCTTGTTACTTGGGAGAAGAGACCGACACCCACCTTGCTACAACCTCCTTTCGGGTAGTTGTAGAGAGCGATGAGGTCTCCCCTCAGCCTCCTCTTCTCCAGGCTAAACAACCCCAGTTCCCTCAGCCGCTCCTCATAAGACTTGTTCTCCAGACCCTTCACCAGCTTCGTTGCCCTTCTCTGGACACGCTCCAGCACCTCAATGTCCTTCTTGTAGTGAGGGGCCCAAAACTGAACACAGTATTTGAGGTGCGGCCTCACCAGTGCCGAGTACAGGGGGACGATCGCTTCCCTACTCCTGCTGGCCACACTATTTCTGATACGGGCCAGGATGCCATTGGCCGCTTTGGCCACCTGGGCACGCTGCCGGCTCATGTCCAGCTGGCTGTCAACCAGCACCCCCAGGTCCTTTTCCTCCAGGCAGCTTGCCAGCCACTCTTCCCCAAGCCTGTAGCATTGCATGGGGTTGTTGTGGCTGAAGTGCAGGACCCGGCACTTGAATCTCATACCGTTGGCCTCAGCCCATCGATCCAGCCTGTCCAGGTCCCTCTGCAGAGCCTTCCTACCCTCGAGCAGATCAATGCTCCTGCCCAACTTGGTGTCATCTGCAAACTTACTGAGGGTGCACTCAATCCCCTCATCCAGATCATTGATAAAGATATTGAACAAGACCGGCCCCAAAACTGAGCCCTGGGGAACACCGCTGCCAGAGTCGTAGTGCCTAGAGCTGCATCTTTAATGCATTGGGGCTCATTGCAGAAGTTCTGAAGACTTAAGACTTATCAGAACTCTCTGAAGGGATTGCAGGAGAGCTTGAGCATAAACATCAATAAAACTTAGCGGTGCTGTGAAGGCGAGATGAAACTGATGCAGACAGTTGCTTGTGTGCTGTTCACAACTGGGACTCTGCCAGCTACAAAGTGGGTGGTAGCAAAAGGGGAAGGGGCCTTTGTCAGTCAAGAAGTCAAAGGTGCTCAAAGTTGCTGGGATTACAACACAGATGCCCTGTGCATGAGATACCCCTTTTTGCACAAAATTCGTTATGGTATGTATAACCTGAACTCCTCTGCCTTCTAAACCCTGACATCTTCCACTCTGTTTTTCTTCTGGGAAGATGAGTCTTTCTCTGGAGCTGAATAGCACAGTAGCGCTTGCTTCTGCAGCTCTGTGTAAAACTAATGCAGCTCATGTCTTTCAGCACAGCCCACCGTGACCCTGACAACGAAATACATTGGCAGAACATAAAGCCTGAGCATGTTGGTTGGGTGTGACAGATGAGGTTCAGAGGCTCAGAAACCTACTTGCCTTTACTCCTCCTTTGGATATCTTAGCTTCTGGGTTCTCCCAGTGTCTTTTTTCTTCATCACGTAAGCGTAAGCAATACCGTATCTTGAAGCATGAACTGCAAGTTCTAGGAAAGGGAGAGGCGTGCTTTAAATATGTAAGCCCAACGGCTTATAAACTTTTCCTAGTCAGGGCTGTTTCCTCTGCAGCCTGTAATGTGCTGTTCTCTTTTCCAGTTGAAAAGGATTATTTTAAAACATAACCATGATTGTTCTTGCTCATTTAAACAAAGAAAGGAAGGTGATCATTTGGGGGGATGAAGGAGATAATCTATCATGAAACACTAATCGGACCAAAAGCCTTTGAATGAAAGTCACTAAAGAAGGTTTTGGGGTTTCCATTTTTGGTTGGCTTTGTTTTTTTTTTTAAATACCAGAACAGCTGGCAAGATTGTGAGCACACTTGCCATGAAGTAGAAAGTCTGCCTTTAACTAGAAATGAGTGAGGTTTAGTTAATGACACACTCAGATTTTCAGATGTAACAGCTATGTGTAAGTGTCAATAGCAGTCAAGCTTATTAAGTGTTCTCAGTAAACTCACCTCAGTGTCTTTACCGAACTGGCAGAAAGCTATTAAAGACATACCTTTTCGCTTGAACAGTTAACACAGTCCCTTTAATCAGAGCCATTTCCCGATGATAGGAATGGTGAGTGAAAAGACCTTACTTGCTTATGTTAGAGAATCAAATGTGGGTACCTCTTGGTGATAGGCTATTAAAAACTTTAAGGCAGTAAGTTGTCTAAGTAGTTACTGTTGATACAGTAGTTAAGCTACAGTCCATCACAACCATACATATTCCCAAAAAAGACAACATTAAGAAAATGGCACAGTTCAGTCAAGTGTATATACGATTTTCAGTTTGTACTGAGGCCATCTCAAAAGTGCTCTGTGGAAAATATTTTATTAGTTCGTCCTGGGAACAGTAAGTACAACTTAGGTTTCCACTTCTCAAGTACAGCCATGTGAAAAGTAACTCCGAGGAAACTGCATCTCTGATGGTTACAGCCCCTTCATCAATAAGCATGTAAACATTTATTAGGGGTATGAACTTTAGCATTTTACAAATTTATGGGTAACTTCATAGATTCCAACAGATTCCTTTGTTTTTTCATCATAGTCATTCCAGTCCTATAGGAAATAAGATTTCACAGTATTAGTCACAGAGGATAGAATGCAACAGTGTCTAAAACACAGACTGGAATTCAAACTGAAACTAAGCCTTACTCAAAGTTTGGGTCTTAGAGTTCTGTGGAAAGCACTGTGCAGTCACTAAGCTAAGTTCTGATATCCGAGAGAAGCAAGAGCACTGGCCTGAAATTAAATGGGCTTCAGTCTCAGTGTTTGAACAATGGTATTTTTTTTTTTTCATATGTAGTCCACAGCCTGTAGTGGACAAGATGGCAACCACGGCAGATGAAAGGATTATCTATCATTTACAACACCCTAGTCAGGTGGGTAAGCAGACAAGCAGATCCCTGCCAAGTAGGATACCAGGGAACAGATTTGACCTTGAGATTCTTGCTCACAGCCAAGGAAGATTTGCAATGCTGGAGTCATTATCCTGAGCTTTGAAGGACAGTGTCTTTCTATTACTTTTTAATATCTCTCTGCACAGGAAAAAGTGCAGGCATCTTCCTAGAAAAATCAGTTCACCACTCTGAATAGCCCCAGCCATTTAGTATTCCAGGTGTTTGCTCTCTGGAATTCCTAAGTGACTTAGAAGAAAAGTTGCATTTCTACCTTTGTCAGCTACTAAGCTATCAAATGAATACTTTAAAATGACGCTGTTAGTAATGCTGGTTGTTCGTAGTTGATTTAGTTTCCCTCTCCAGCTATGACCTTCCTGTGCCTACATGAAAGAGCAAAACTAGTCTCTTGAATGTGCAGGGTGTGTATTTTGGACTAGCGACTTAGGGAAAGAAAGCTAGATAATTAGATTTACTAATGAAACTAAGACAACATACCTTTTCTAACAAGTTTATGTCATTGAAAGGTGTGCCAGATTCTGCACCTTCAGCGGCAAACCCTGCCTGCAAACACATTTGCAGTAAGTTTTTAAGAATAAGTTGTACCAAGAAAATAATAAATATCATAATTGAAACATGTTTAAAGAAAGTAACTCAGCACAAACTTCTATCGTATTTCTTTTAAATTAGGTAGAAAGAATGGTCAAGCTCTTTCCTGGTTAAGGGTCAGTATAAGATTGTGACCCTGTTTGTGAATTGGGAAAATTCAATCTAAGCAACCACAGCGTAAAATGAGGGAACACTGCTCCTCTGTTTTTCCTGCCAAAAAAGGTATTTCCAAGTATTCTAGATAACGTTAAACCTGGGTTTCTAAGTTTATATAGCAGCATCCAACTACTAATAGCTTTAATTTGTGTTCAGAATCCATACAGGCATTATGTATAAAATAGCCTCATAATAAACTTACACTGCAAGAAAACAATAGAAAGAAAATGTGGGAAAGGGTTAATAGTTTTGGCTTAAATATCACCAGAATCCACTCTAGAGAAGGAGCAGCCTGTATTGGATTTGGGTACAGAAGCAACTAGCAAGCTTTACATGAAAAGGAGGATCAGCTGGCTGAATGAACAGATTAGTATACCCAAACAATCATTTCAAAAGGGAGAGTTCTCCATTGTTGTTACTGCTGCTGTTTTTAAAGAGTTGAAGGAAAGGGTAACAATAGCACTAGGAAGGAAATAGCGTATCAGTGGGGTATAGCACAAGAACAAGGTGTTCTGTTTTACCTTCTATAGGAACAGCTCTCTCATTTTAGGGTTCACAGTTATCAAGCTGTAAATTAAGTTTTATTAGTTTTAAAAGTAAAATTAAAAATCTCAGCCACCTCTGTAGCATACAGGAAGGTTTCTTACATTGCCATTTCTAACTACAGAAATTAAGTGGCTAAAAAGCAAAGGTACCTTATTCCTGATTTTCTGCAAGGGATCTACACTTGCATTTTTGATAAAGAAATCCCCACTAGTGCCAGTCAGACATTTAACTGTGTAAGAATGTGTGAACTAAGCCACATGATTTTAAAATATTTCGGGATTTGAATGGAAGGTTAAGCACTTGGGAGTAAAATAAACCACAGAGTGTGGCAGATGTAACAACAGGAGAGCTATCAGCAAGGCTCAGTGTGAATATGGCCTTTATATAATTGTCAGAAGCCCATCTCAAGGGAACTGCTAGGGGCGGAGAGGAAGATCAGCATCATGGGACAAAAATGCTGAGCTGCAGTATAGAACAAACAATCAAAAAATAAAAGAAGCCCTGCTTTTGCCACCTGGAGATATTCACCAGCCCTCCAAGGAAAAAGAAGCCATGTGACTGGAATTACAAGCTTCTGTACCAGACACTCAGTGGGACTTGCATTCTTACAGCTTTGGCGTCAGAGCAGAAACTCGTTTAATCTCTGCAGAAGGGAGCTGGGACATGCAGTGACTTGTCTGCTCTCTGCTGACAGGCAAAGGACCAACAGCTAAAGCATAAACACACACACCCCAAAGAAGCAAAAGTGCCTATTGACTTTACAACACAGTGAATTGTCACAGTTTTGTTACCAATGAAACTATCAGTTATGCCACAAAGCGAAGAAGCTTAAGAAGGTTTAAGAGAAATTTTATAAAGAAACCTCCATTTTTTAGTTGAAGCATTCACTTGAGGGACAAGGACAGGAAAGGAGCTGAACTATCCTCAAGTAAAGCCAAAAATTATATATCAGATTTGCAGTAGATGTATCTACTTAAGCACATTAAACAAGAAAAGTAACTAGGGGAAAAAAATTGTGCTTGCCCATTATTAGAACACACGAGTACCTAGTTTGAATTTGTTGCTACTACTAGATAGAAAAAGAGGGTTTATATCAGAGAATCAAAGGACACTTTCTCCTCTTTCAGACTCCAATCATTTTTTTGAGAAAACTACTATAATTTAAATAAGACATGCAAGCATTGAGCCACTCTAAATTGACTTCAGGTATGGTTGTATTATGTCTATCAAAAATACAAAGAAAATAGAGTAATGCTATGGCCAATCCTGTTCGGTGCTAATCAAAAGCCAGATCTAAGGTTGTGGAGAAGCCAGGCTGGCTTAGATCATGTCAAATATAAAGCAGTTTATAGAATTGTTTGGAACTGCAGAAGTGTATATATTTACTCATTTAGGCATCAGAAAATTCACTGAAATACCTGCTCAGGGATTCAAGTGTACTCTCCAATAGAGTGCACAGACCAAACTTTGAGAATATTAAATTAAAAGCTTTATTACAGCTGTGAAGTCTTTGTTCTGCAGATAAAAATAAAATTGACAGCTAGGATGCAGAGCTATAAACATCTACATTTTATAGTCTCATAGATTTTTCTTGAAGTGCAAGTTCCTAGGTCTGGCTAGACCTAGGAACTTCCTTTCGAACAGGAATGAACTAATAACCATTCTGTTCCTCGAAAAGGTAGGCTTCATTTTAAATAAATAAAGAGAACCTCCTGCAGCACACTGCAGTGGTGATTTTATTTATACCAAATTCTTTGTAGGATCAGCTTTTTTGGTCTGTTTCTTACCATAGTGTCAGTCTGAGGGAAGGATAAGACAGGTTTATATTTGTCAGTCTATTTACACCTAATCCGACTGGAATAATAGGTTAAATATAGTAGGGAGTTAGCTTGCATACAGCACGACCATGCACAAGCAAATGAATCACTGAAGACTGGCTTGGACCTGAAGAAATCCTTTAACTCTGAACCTTGAGGTGTGCTTTGCAACACTCTTGTAACTGCTGTTGATCTTTGCCTTGATCAGTCTTTGTCTGATCAAGTTTCAAATGGAAAAATGCCAATATTCATTTCCTATGGCTTTGGTGATGTCAAGTCTCAAAGAAAATTCTTTTTTTTTTTAGAGGCCATATACTGAAGACTGTTCATAACCTGAACTTCATCTACTCTCTGTAACATCCCAAGAAGCAAAGTGGCGCTCTCCTGAATGTGGCTGTCTAATTATGCACTTTCACAATTCCCCTTTAGGAAAGACTCCCTTTTGCAACAACCTGAGCAATGAAGACCTTTCAGATGAATTCCAGTGAGCAGTGCCGAGTCACCTGTAAGGCAATTTGAATATGACTCCAGGGTGTGTTTAATTTTAGATTTTACTGGCACAAAGAATACCAGAGTTGTTAGTGTTAGCTGCTTGGGTTTTTTGTTTGGGGTGTTTTTTTGTTTGTTTGTTTGTTTTTTTTTTTTTTTGAGTCAAATGACGTAAAAGAATGAACTGTGGAGAGGATGGAAAACCGGGGAGGCCTAGGACATTCCAGGAAGAGCAGTACATTTCAAATAGTGTGTATTTTATCACTCTAGAGTCTATAAGAAGTGCTCTTAAAAACTGAGAAACAAATAAGAACTCACCTGTGGTTGAAAGTCAACGGGTTCCAGACCTCGGCATTCAAATTCCACTATCGTTTTGAATTTCTCACTGTCTTCAGCCTATAATTGAGTCAGAGTACCATTAGTTTTCTTCTAATAGGGAAACAGTGACAAGCATTAGTCTAGGAATGAATTGCTTTAAAGGCAGTACTATCAACTCTGATGTCCCAAGTGACAGCAAAATCCTAGGGCTCATTTAATAGGTATTCCAACAGGGATTTCTTAATCTGCCACAAAGAAGCCTTCAAAAGGAAACTAATACGGGCGTTACAGAATCACCTCCAATTTGAGTGATACGGTTTTGTGTTTTGCTTATGAAATGTATCACGGATTATTCTACGCTTGAGACTGTGTGCAGCAGCCTACAAGAGACAATTTGCTATCAGAGGAGAATACCAGCTTTTTGTGTTCTTGAAAGCGGAATGTGATGATAAAGCAAAACCTCAAAATATTATTAAGGCTTATTTATCTTTCACTTGTTATATAAAAGAGAAAACAAACTTACATTGTAAGGTTTGATTGTCTGACTTAAAATATCTAAAAAAAAAAAAAAAATCAGAAGTGTTAAAGTGAGTGGCATTATGTCTTCAGTTTTATTCATCACAAACCAAGCACCAGCTTCTTTTTTTGAAGAAATTTCCTTATACAAAGTAAAAGAAACAAAGTAACCAAGCAGTTCCTGCAGTTGGCCCTCAAAAGGTAGAATTCAATTCTTCTCACTTCTCCTGAGAAGTTCACATTACACCATTTTGTTACCCTAACAATGGAAAAAAATTTGCATGCTTTTGTAAAGTGACATCACGGGTATGAGTTTTGTTCATGCAGAAACCTGAACTCACCCAGAGGTCTTGCTGTCTCCTTCATAAGCATGATGACAAGTATGTACCTGTTGTGAACTCAAGCACCAGTGTACAAGGAAAAAAATTCCTGGTGAATGCTCTTTACAAACAGTGTCAAGCAAAAATGGGGACTAAAAAATAAACTTAGGAGAAAAAGTGTAAAATGGATGATGTCTCTCAAATTTCTAAGCACATACCAATGGAGTTCTCCCTGGAGCACAGCTTGCATTTCTGCACCATAGTGGCACTTCCTCTGCCTCCTTTCAGGGGAGCACTGTCCTAAAAACCATGACAATAGAGACATCATTTTTAACTGCACTCTAGCTGAGCCACTGGAAACCTCTGCAAAGGTAAAGTAGTTTTTACAACAATGGTCTTAAACTTTAACTTTTTAAAAATATTGCAATGAGAAGGCTTTTTTTAAACTAGAGAGATCTATAATTCAGAAAGCTGTGATTATCAAAGAATAATTCTGTTCTAGACTTAAAATAGTTAATAATGGATAGTTATGTCTTGTCCATATATGCATGTTCCATTAATTCCTCAAAATACATTCTTACCATTCAGTAGTATGCAACAAAGAGGGATGATTATTCCTGAAAACAGAACCTTCTCTTATCCCTGACAAATTTTATCCTGCTTTTTTCAGTTTCTAAATGCTAATTTAGCATGCTTAACTCACCTTGAATTACCTAAACTTCTCCAAAAAGATTCCATCAGAGAAATATGCTACAGGCACAACCTTATTCTGGTATCACTTCAAAATTTGTTTTCAAATGGTATTTTTACAGAAAGGCAGCTTTTCAAAGCAGCTGTAAATACTTTCTCACCAACAGTCACCATTCCAATGGCATATTTCAATTAAGTCTCCAAATATTTTTTTTAATACGGAATATGACAGCATTTCCTGAATGCATACAGCTATTAAAATACTACCTCATCTAAAGTGCAAGTCATCACATCCCTGACACCAATATCGCTTGTATGTAAGAGGCAGGTTTGTTTTCTCATTTTTGTTCTGATGCAGGTTACAACAGGGAAACATACCATCAATCGCAGATACTGCCATTTTTCAGAAACTTCACTACAGTTCCCACATTTCAGCTGAAAAATAAATATAAACCAGAGAATTTAAAGCTGTCAATAATCAGGGATTAAAAAGCTGAAGGAGCTGATGTGAGCCCCCCAGAATCAAACGCCATCGTTTCACAGCGGAGAGGAGCCAGAGGCAGATATGAGGTGCTGTCTATCCCGACAAGCCCATGAGCTGACTCGACCTGGCGGGTATGCCTGCCGCAGAGGGTCTGCCCTTCGGTGCGTTGGATGGAAAGCGTGTTACAAAAGCACGGTCACGAAATAAAAGTTACCTGCCAATGGATATTGGATTACCAACCACCTCACCAATGGAGGCACTGACCAACACTCGAACTTAAGACTTTTCATTATTGCAAACTAATGTATAATGTCATGCATGTATTAATGAATACATATCCGTATACTTAGACCACCACGTTCGTTGCTCCTGTAGCAGCCTGCTTGCACTGTGTGGAAAAACCCCACATTGCATTTTAAGCCGAGTGATGTGACATTCAACACCACAGGCCTTCATCGCCAGGTGCCCCGCTGGACAGTCTAACAGGCTCTTAACACCGAGAACGGCCTCTCCCAGCTCCCGAAGACCCCGAGGCCGCCGCCGCCGCCCGCCGCACCTTGAGGTACCAGCGGAAGTCCTCCCCCTCGGCCCGCAGGCGGGTGATGTTCTCCAGCGTGGCGCGCAGCTGCAGCCCGATCCTCTGCAAGGCAAGAGGCAGCGAGAGAGGCCGTCAGCTCAGCTCAGCTCAGCTCAGCTCGGCCCGGCCGCGGCTCCTACCTACCCCCATGGCTTCGCAGGGTGCCCGGCAGCTCACGGGGCCGCGAAGGCGATCGGGACTCCCCTGACGGCTGACGGC